GGTGGGATTTTCCGTGACACGGGAAATCTGCCGTGACACGGGAAATTCCGTGTCTTTTCCGTGTAAACCCTTAACGTGTTTTCTTCCCCGTTTACTGAAAATTTCCCGCGTCACACTAAAAATGCACCGTGTCACGGTACAGTTTGTCGTGTCGCGGGATACTTTTTTAGGGTTTTTATCATTTTAGGGTTCCGTGTGCTCCCTCAGCACATTTTCTCTATAAATACCCCCTCATTTCTGATGTATAGGGCATCAATTAATTCTCTAGTTGATTTTTCTCTCTTCTATGCTCTAGCCTAAACACTAGCCTACCCTTTTTCTTTCAAAATTCCTTCTTCAAGTACTCCAAGCAGTCCATACTTTACTCGTGGTTCTGTCCTTAAGCCAAGGCGTGAAAGGTAGAACTGTTTGAGGGTTTGGCCCCAAATCAACTCTACTTAATTTAATTTAATTTAATTATTATTTTATTATTATTTCCTTGAAGTTACTAACTCGTTTATTATTTTTTAGTTGCAAACAAAGAGAATCAAAGTAAGAATTATGTTCCTTTTATTTCTATTATTTTTCTAACGATTTTATATTGTTGGAATTATGGTTAAATTGCTTCCAATATTAATGTTTATTCTATTATATTTTTTATGATCACCATATTACATGTTTAAAGGGAATATGTAATTGAAAACCACGCCTAATAAGATAATTTGGACAACCGGTTTAGGTTCCTTTTTAATCTTGTTGTTTGATTCAAGTGATCACAAATATTTTAGCTTAATAATAGTTTGGAGCAAATTGAATATTTTGTTTGTATGCCTTTGAGATCGCAGGGATCACTTTTCACTATAAGAATCGAGTAGAGGCCAATACGGGCGAATGTGGCTCCATGACTCACTTCGTACCATCATCCCCGATCCTCCTTTCGTGGTTCCGAACCATATCGAGTTAGTAATATCATGGATTATGAATGGGGTGTAACCTTCACGGGTCAATCGTTGTTGCCTATCGTTGTCCCTTAATCGTGGTTGCCTTTTATGATCCGTAAACGGTTTACAAGTTCCTTAAAAACTTGTTGGTGGCTCCCTACTTTATTTGTCCTTAATCGTATTATGTCAATTCCCACTTCCTATGAGTGCCAAGCATACTCACCACATGCTTTAACGTAGGCGCACTTCGAGCGACGCCTAAACCTATCATTCCCTCACCACCGCCCAATAGTGACATGAATTTGAGAGTTTGTGACTTGATCAATTTTGACTCTATGTCTTGGAAGGGGGATGTTGTCCAGCAGAACTTCTCAGCTTCTGATCAAGCACTTATTTTTTCTATCTCGCTTTCCTTTTGATGCACTAGGGACGTAATGCATTGGTGGCCTTTGAAGTTGGGGGAGTATAGTGTGAAATCTGGTTATTGGCTTGGCAATCGAAATCCTAATTCGGGTCGATCTCATCAAGGAAGTGACGTTTGGAAGACAATTTGGAGTCTTAAAGGCCCGCCAAAATTATGTCACTCTCTGTGGAGAGCTTGCAAAGGCTTTCGTGGGGTTAAAGAGAGGCTGCACTATCGTCACTTGATTCCTGATTGTGTGTGCACAATCTATGGAAGTATGGTTGAGTCAATTGTGCATACAATTTTTTAGTGTAGTGTTGCGGTTCAAATATGGAGTGTGAGTGAGTTTACTGCATTGCTTTCCCAGGCCCTTATTTCTGATTTCTCTGCCCCTTTTATGTGGCTAGCTTCGAAAGTGTCTAGCAAAGCGCTCCTGACGATGGCTGCTTTGATGTGGGCTACGTGGTGGTGCCGCAACAGGGTCATTTTTTATAATGAGTCACCTTCACCAATTCTTGTTGCAGCTGGGCTTGTAAGAAATGTTATGGAGTATGGTGACTATGCGTGCAAAGTTTTTAAGCCTACTGTTAATGCCTCTAATCCCGCTATGTTCTCGTGGAATCGCCCAAGTGCTGGTTTTTATCCAAGTAAAGTGTGACGCTCATGTAGGTGGATTTACAAGTCTGGGTGCTTTTATAAGAGACGAAATGGGTGCTATTTTGGTTGCTGATGTCCGTAGGGAGCATGATGGGTGGAGTTTTGTTTAGGCAGAGGCTATGGCATGCCGTTTTGGTGCGTAACTGGCCTTTAGGTTGTGGTATAACAAAGTCATAATTGCGAGTGATTCTCTCATGGTTGTTCAGGGAATTAGGCAGAATAGGGTGGGCTTTGACCTAATGAGTTTACTACTTGAAGATTTAGTGCTGCTAGCTTCTTCTTTTTACTGATTTTTCTATGTGTCATGTGAAATGTGAAGGGAATACTCTTGCTCATCTCGTTGCGAGGTGGTACTCTAGAGGTTATGAATTTGTTTGTTTGGGTCCCTTCCCTCAAAGTCTTCAAACTTTGGCGAAACTTGACCTCACTTAATATATTCCCGATCGATTTTCTTCAAAAAAAAAAAAAAATTATTCATCCCTAATGTCCAATTATTTCCAATTCTAATCCAGATTGATCAAATCCATAGTCGTCCCTAGGCAGCGCATGAGGTGTTGCTGCCCCGGGCCCCTAGGGGTGGAGGCCGAATTTCTTAGTAGCGAGCTTAAACTAGATGGAAATAATATACTATGTAGTTTAATTGCACCGCAGATTTAAACAATTTTCATATACCCAAACTCCAAAATAAACATATATCCCAATATTCCTCCTCCTTTAATTCTATCCCATTTTTTTTTACTTGACTATTTGATAATATAATGGTAAATAATTGATTTGTACAATTTTTTATTTTTTTCATTTTTTGGTATGCTATAATTTTGTAAAGTAAGGATGATTGTTGTTTGTACGTTTTATGCTATGCTTTTTATATATATAGTGCGCTTTTTTTCCTTGTAATTTAAAGTTTTTAGTTTTTTACTTTACTAGTAGTTGATTAGGGCTCCAATCTGTTATTTTGCCCATAGGCCACCAAAACGCTATGAACGGGGCTGATCAAATCCAATTACTCCATCCATTACGAATTACTCGCAACAATTACTAAAAATGGCCGGTACACATTACTTGCTACAAAATTAGTCTTTCCTTTTATGGTAAGTTTTTTTGTGTGATATTACAACATTACCCTTACTTTATTTTCTAAACACCCTAATTAAACTACTGATTTTATCTTATTAACTTAATCCCTAACATTGAAAAATGGAAACTAATAATCTCACCTTTGCCATTTCTGCTCAAAACAATCCCACCTTTTCGAATTTCCAAAAAAATCCCATCTTTGACCCTCATCTTCTCAAAATGAGCCTTTTATCGATTTGTGAAATTGGTAACTTATTTTAGAAGGTGACTTGCCACGTGTCACCTTCTGATTGGTACAATTTTAATTTTTGCAAATTTAAAAAAAAATACTCCTTACCACCGTCCACCGCATCAGACACCACTTCACCACCCCTCCCCTTTCCCTACCTCCCTTTCTCGGTTTCGTGGGTGAGACCAGGGTTCGTGGGTGGTCGGGGTTCGTGGGCGGCGGTATTTCGGGGTTGTTTGGGTTTTGTGGGTTGGTCGGTATTTCGGGGTTGTTTGGGTTTTGTGGGTTGGTCGGGATTTCGGGTTGGTGGGTTTCGTGGGTGAGATCGGCGGGGGTGGTTTAGGTTTCGTGGGAGTTTGTGGTGGCTGGGGTTCTTGGTGGCCGGGGTTCGTGGTTTGGTCGGGATTTTGGGGTTGGTGGGTTTCGTGGGTGAGATCGGCGGGGGTGATTTGAGTTTCGTGGGTGGTCAGGATTTGTTGGTGGTAGGAGTTTGTGGTGGCTGGGGTTCGTGGGTTGGTCGGGATTTCGGGGTTCGTGGGTTTCGTGGGTGAGATCGGCGGGGGCGGTTTGAGTTTCGTGGGTGGTCGGGATTTGTGGGTGGTGGGAGTTCGTGGTGGCTATAGGGTTCGTGGTGGCTAGAATTCGTGGGCGGTGGTATTTCTAGGTGGCTGGGGTGGTTGGTGTTAGGGGGGTTTTGTGGGTGGGTGGATGGCGGTGGTCGAGGTTAGGAGAGAGAAAGAAGGTGGTGGGGTTAGGTGGTGATGTGGTGGTGCTTATGGAAGGGTGGTGGTGGTTATAGTGGATAGCTAAGGTGGGAGATGAGAGATTGAAAAAAAAATAAAAAGTTTTACCTGTTAAACAAGTTGTGGGTTAAAAGGCTCATTTTGAGAAGATGGGGGGGGGGGGTCAAAGGTGGGATTATTTTGGGAATTCGAAAAGGTGGGAATGTTTTGAGTAGAAGTGACAAAGGTGGGATTATTAGTTTTCATTTTTCCTTAATTTAATCACCTCCCATCTAAATTCATCATCACCTTCATTGACAACCATCACCACCACCACCATCACCTTCATTGGCAACAACCACCACCACCTCCATCACCTTCATTGTCAACAACCACCACCACCATCGATCACTACTATCGCCGGAAATCACCGCCGTTGTCTTCTTCCTAGTCGACGCCTTCGTTTTCTATCTCTTCATTTTCTAAATCTGACTTTTTCTGGGTTCGTTGTGGTGCTTGGTGGGTCGAATTTGTGGTGCTTGGTGGGTTGAATTTCTAGGTTCGAATTTCAGGGTTTGGTGGTGCTGGGTTTGAATTTCGTGGGTGGTTTCGTGGGTTTGAATTGCTAGGTGGTGGTGGTTTTGTGGTGCTGCCTGGATGGTTGTGTTTGATTTGGTTTTCTTTTTTTCTTTTGGATTAATACTAAACACATGCCCTTATTTTTCATTAATTACACTTAACAATCTTTTGCCTAGGAGTTCACAATCCTCTTCTTTGTTGCGAGTAATTCGTAAAGGAGGGAGTATTTTTTTTATAACAACTCGTAAAACAGTATCAGATTAGCCTCTTCTAGTCTTAAAGTATAAATATAACACGAAAATTATTCTAGTTCTAGTTTTCTAAATTTACGAGTTTATAAATTAGTTGTAATTTCCCTTAAAAAAATTTATACTACGTAATTTTGACGAGTATATCAATACTAATTCATTAAGGTTGGCATTTATCTAGCAGCAAAAATATCTACGTAGTAGTTGTATTAAGATGTGAATATTAAACCCAGAGAAATTAGAAATGTTAAGACTTGTGCAGATGATGATAGCTTACTCCTCATCTTCTTCTTCTTCTTTCTTCCTCGCAAATCGAATTAAATTTCCTCAACCAAGATTTCCCATAATCTCATTGTCGAATTCTACTTCCATTTTATCAACTTCGAAGATTCACTGTCTCAAATCTTTTCGGATGTCATCAACTCGGAGCGACTCAAATTTAACTGCTTCTTCCTCTTCTTCATCCTCCGATTCTTTGATTTCTTCGGTATAATCTTTATGCTAAAGCCTTTTGTTTTGATTTCATACAAATTTTGCAATTTGGGTTGTTTAAGTAACTGGGGTTGAGTTCTTTTGTGTTATATAATCTTGAATTTATTGATTGGCATGTTTATTTCGGATATTACATTACATTTTCTTGAATTAATTTTGATTATTTTAACTTTGTTTTGATTTTTCTTTGTGATTAAATGTTGTGCGAGTGTAAATGGGAATTGGGTTTGATTTAATTGTTTGATTTATTGGAACTTTGCAAGATTATTAGAAAAATCATTAAGCATTAATTGCTGTGTGTGGCTTACTTGGTTTGTGTTATTTTACTCAGTGTACATCTAAAATGTGAAAATAGTTTGATGCTAATTGAGTAAGGCCTCCATTTTGTTTTGAGACATTATACAGAAATTGAGCCTCGTTTGGTTCTTGGAATTTCAACTCAAGTATACTTCTTATTGTGTTGTAACCTGACTCATAGGAAGGATATACTACGTTGTAGTGTGCGTTTAAGGTTAAAAGGAACAAAATTGTTGGCATTATATACGAGTCAGAATGTTAGGCGTTTATGCCTTGAAAGATAGAATTAATGGTGTAAATGCAGACGTCTAGGAATAGGATAGAATAATAGGAGAGATTTGACTAAGTTGATTTGGTTATGTGAGGCGCCAACCAGCAAGAAAGTTTGAGGGTTGCGAAAATATTATGGATGGTCACAAGGGATCGGTTCTTGGTTTATGTCATGTCCCCTTCCGTTTTGGGATTATGACTTTGCTTTTCTGTTGTCGCTATATGCTCTGGAAGATTCAAAGTGTTTGAGCTTGTTTCTGGTTGCAGAAGTTTCAAGTGTATGTTAAGTGAAGTTGCAAGTTGAGACACTAGGTTGTAACTTGGCCGTGATGATCAATCGTGGGTTTATGCGTCTGATGCTTTTGGTGATTGGACTTATGCATTGAATGTCGGCGTACCTTGGGGAGCTTGGATATTTGAACTGTATCTTGGTTTACAGCCAGGGAATTTTGGTGTTTAAAAGGATGAAGTGTTGTTTTGTATTAACCTGGGGCTAGGAAATTACTTTGGTATCATCTTATTTATTTCTTAGTTGAAGGAATTCTCCAAGTTTTTGTGCTCAATACAGGAGTCAATGCATGGAATGAAGAATTTAAGATTGGTTGTTTAGTCAGTGTAGCCATCTAGGACTGCCGTCTGGGAGAGCTGAACTAGGTGAGGACTAAGGACCAGTGGAAGTTGGATAAGAATGGAGGTTGACAGGAACAAGACTTACTGGTTACTGTTGTTAAGCACTAATGAAATCCATAGACTCAACTGGTTTGCATCATTGAAAGACAGTTGCTTCTAATGTAAGCAAGAAACAAAAAAATGGAGAAGAATCCTTCATTGCTAAAAAATGAGCAGGGGAGAATTATCACTGCCAAATCCATGTGTTCCCTGCAAATGTAGAACTTTCTAATTCAGATTGAGAATTAGAGAATTGAGGTCCTTGAGACTTTATTGTTAGAATCTCTTTAGAAATTTAAGGCCTTTTTGTACATGATAGAGCTTGGCTTTGTATTGAATGAGGGTTTAAAATTGGACTTGTGGGAAGCTTGGAGGCTCCATGGGTATCCTCTGAACTTCTTATAAGATAACCATAATTTTTCCATTTTATTATTTGCAGCTTAGTATGCCTAGAGTTACATGATGTAAGCAGATGTGGCTTTTGTTAGGTGTCCCAGGCTTATCAGCAGAGCTTCAAGCCAGGATGCTTCTGAGTTTTGACTTGTGGCATTTAACTAGAATCGGCATATGATAATATGGTGCTGCTTGGAAATTAAATCTATATTGGGAGGAGGACTGGAGGAATAAATTAGATGGGGTCATAGGTTTAGGCCATGAGAGATGGAAGTAAATTAGAGTTGCTGGAATGAAAAAGTTGGAGAAAGAAAAACAAGATATCAAACTTTTTACTTGTATGTTTGTGTGAGTCAAACCACAATAAATTGTTAATGACGGACCTTCATAGTGCTGTGATGACTGTTTCTGCATTCGTGATCTATATTTTTTATTTTATTTTTAATTTTTTGGGTTTTTTTTTTCGACTTTTGTGTATATCCAGCTAGCATTCCTTTTGTCATTAGCCTTCTTTCAAGGTTGGATGGGGACTTTAATATAAAATGTTTGTTTGGGTGCTGAGATAATGATAGCTTTGTTTGGCATCCAACAATTGCTTTTTACTCAGAAACTTAATGAGGGTTGAAAGAGAATATGCACAAGGATATAGTGATGCTATTGCTGTCACATCTCTTAGGCTCAGAGATACTTTCTTGTTCCTTCAGTATAACAGATGCTTTGTTTTTAGTTGCCGAGAGCTGGAAGGAGGTGTCTTGGCATGGTGCCAATACTTATGGTGCCAATGCTGTTTTCCCCTGTTTGAATAACTGTCTAACATTTATCTAATCTGAGTCACCACTCACTGCAGAGTTTTAATGGCTTAAGGTGGCATGTCTCTTTTCCAGTTAGGAGATGGAACTTTACTGTCTCTGTTATCACTTATTGCTTAGCAGTTTATCGTTTACTTGTTATTTTCATTGCATTTGTATAAGTTAAAGAAAGCTATTTAATAATATTTTATATTCCTTCTCCAATTTTACATCTCATCAATATTTCTCTTTCCATTTTGAGTGTCTGGCACATCCTAAGTTTCCCTTTCCAATTAAGGGATAGAAGGAATACAGTAAAATTCAAATTATTATCTGAATGTGATTAATATTTTTGGATATTGTAATTTAAAATGGAAATGATTTTGTTCTTTAACAGGTAATCATGGTTGTTTTTCTACTGGTAAAAAATTTGTGCTATCTACTTAACTTTCATACAGAGATAGTTGAGTTGTATTTTACATCATTCCAATGTAATGCGTTTTCATTGTCCAGGTTGATGAATTTCTCTGAGAGTTGCTAATTATTTTTCTTTTTTCTGTGACTTCCGTAATTTATTTGTTCTATTCTTGTGATTAAATCTCCAAGTTATTCTATGCTGAAGTTAAACATTTCATAGCAAGGATCACTTGCATTTCCTATGCTAGTTTTTCTGTAAACTTATTCACTACACTTTTCTCAAAGCTCTGCTTCTACTATTGCAATCTTGTGGTGAATCATGAATTGAAGATATGAAGTCATTTGCTATTACTTCATATGTACCCTTACCATGCTTTTTTTCCCATTTCTGTATATGTAGGGAAATGTCCGTAAAGTCAATTTTTGTCAGTGGTGTGGAGGCTCAACAAAGCATGATATACCTGATGGGGATGAGAAGATGAGAGCAATTTGCACTGTTTGTGGAAAAATTGCCTATCAGAATCCTAAAATGGTAATTGTTCATGTGTCGATAATTGTAGAACAAGAGAACTATAATATGACCAAAAAAATGCCATGATAGGAGATGTCATGCTTTCTATTTTAAATTGTTGGAAGGTCAACTTATCTAATTGAAAATGTGGCTGGTTGTTTGTCATTCTTTCCCAGTTTTAGTTATTTTAAACTGAGCTGGGATAAAAGGTATTCAAGTTTTTGTAAAAAATATTTCAAGTGAAACCATCTTTATATTTCAAGAGGCAAGAAATATATTTTAAAATAAAGAATGACACACCCACTTACCTTCTCTTATACCTTCTCTCTCCCCCCATGCAAAATGTAGCTGACACAGATATTCCCCTCTTCTTGCTCTCTCCACCCCTATTCACAAGGTATTGATGAGCTATGCCAGTTCTATATTAAAGACACGATAGCAATAAACTCCGTGTTTAGAAATTTCCCAAAATATAACCAAACTTCCTTTACAAACCTCCAGTATTAGGAGAAGCTTTAGACGTCATCTTTAGCTTGCCCAAACAATTTGTATATTGGTGAGTCAGACTTAGAGGCAATAAATTGCCAAAGGGAAAGGAGAAGGAAGAAAAAAAAACAACAAAAATTTTGTAAAAGAAACTGAATGTCATTTGATTTATAAATAACATTAGTAAAAAATACATTGAGATGGCTTATCATTTATGGAACAAAAAACTTTATAATTTTCAGCTTATTTATCTGCATTTCTGCCAATTCATAAATTTAATACTACGTATCTTTTGCTAGAGAGATAAGATCAAATTGGTACCTTGGTAAAATGACGAATATTATAATAATTACTAAGTTAGTTTATTGCTTCTGAATAGTGAATACAATTAACGCAATATCTAGATCACTGATTTCTGAGTTTTTTCTTTTTTTTTTTGGAAATAGAGTTTTTGGGTCTTTTAAAAACATTATGGGTTCAGCAATTCCACCTCTGTCAATTGTTAGTATAGAATATAGATATCAAGTCATGAATTCATGATCAGATTGATCACTAGATATTTAGGAATAAGATTTTTAGTTGTATATAGATGTATTCAAGAGGAGTTGAGGACAGATAAGAGGAGAGGAAGAAAATATCCATGGATAAGTTTTAGCAAGGAGAGTTGAGAGGAAAAGAGATATAAAACATATAAAGGAAGGCATAGCTTTGCTATAATTTGGTCTTTAATCATTTTAAAATGATATAAATCTAACCATCTAATGAATTCAAGTACTTAACAGTGAAACTTAACACTGCTTGCTCTGTTCACTTTTAGAAGATTCCAGTGTTCCAACTTTCAAATAATGTTTCCAATATTGATGATGGTACTAATTACTCATTACAGAAGCTGACTCTCATAGGCTTGTGTCACGGTTCATGATTGTTTTAATATGGGTCAAATTAGCTATATTGGCATGTATTAGTAACATTGGCTACATGCTGCCCATTTTGGTGGATAGATAATGATCTTCTATGATCCAGGAAAAACTGATACTTATCAATGTATCTGTTGCATCATCTCTGATGAAGCTTTTGGGTTTTGCTGAAATAATTAAAATTTGAGAATTTTCAGAGGAGATTATTTGTAAGTTTGAAAATGGTGTATGTTAGTAATATCTATGGCTACATGTGAAATGTTTGACTCAATATTTTTTTATTTCTATGATGATTTCTTGCTTTTTGGATGATTCATTTTTGTTGAAACTGTTGGTGAAAGATGTCAAATCTCAAGCTTCTAGATACTGGTTGGATAAGGCTTCTAGGGGACTGGGGTGGTGTCACCGTGCATATAACAGCTAAAGCTGAAAGTTTGGTGTTGGTATCTCATCTGGAATGATAGTAACTAGTACTGTGTGCTTCATTAATAATGTGTTATCATATGGCTTATATTGGTTAACCACTTGTTACAGGTTGTGGGGTGCCTCATTGAGCATGAGAATAAGATCCTACTTTGCAAGCGGAATATTCAACCTTCTTATGGTCGGTGGTGAGTGTTTTAAAAGGGTTATTTGGTTTTGAATATGAGAAGAACAAAAGTATTCGTTCTTATTCCATTATGCTTGCTTTCCGCTCATATTACCGCTTTTTTAGACCATTGGAAATTATCTACATAGGACTCTTCCTGCTGGTTTCATGGAAATGGGTGAGTCTGCTGCAGAAGGTGCTATTAGGGAGACCCAAGAAGAAGCAGGTGCTGAAGTTGAAGTTTTGTCACCATTTGCTCAATTAGACATTCCACTCATTGGTCAGGTAAGGAAGTCTTCACTATATGAGTGTATCAGTGTCACTGTTATTGTTTGCTCTGATCTTGTAACAACTTTTCCTGCAACAGACCTACATCATATTTTTGGCCAAGCTGAAGAAGCCACATTTTTCCCCTGGTCCTGAATCAATCGAGTGCAAACTATTTGAACTTGATGAAATACCTTTTGATTCTTTGGCATTTTCATCAATGCTTGTTACTCTTAAACTGGTATAGCAAGACTTGGCTGTTCCAATCATACTTCAGCTGTTAAGATGTATATTCTTTTTTGACTTGTGCCTCTGGTTTCAGTACATAGAAGATATGAGAGCTGGCAAACCCAAGTTCCATTATGGTACAATTAATAAAAGGTAATATCATAATTAGTTACCCTTTTTTTTATTTTTAAAATAAGTTTTTGGATGTGGAAAACTATGGTTTGATTTTGGAACATTTTTTCTCATCCTTGTAGCACATTGTTTTTAGGTAGATCAGAGTTAGAATTTTAAACTTTAAGGACTGACAACATTCGGAATAAATGAATACGAAGCTAATTGAAGTACTATGTTTGTGGTTTATCGTTTAATACTCCCGCAAACAAAAAAAATGACAGTAACAGGTATAATAATTATAGACTAACTTTGTACATTTATCTGAATTTTATATGGTATGTAATTTAATTCAATGAAATGGGGAAGCTTGGTACAATGAATTAGCTACATTTGGATTCTTAGTTAATGGTTTTCTTTAACCAGGAATTTTGGGGTTTGGGGGGAAAATGGGTTACATTAAGCCATATATATATTGCATGCATGATGGTGTATCATACATTCATAGCTTTGTGTGGTTTGTGATGGGTAGCTGTCATTGGTTGGATTGAGCAGTAATATATGTTTGCACTATGGAACAATTCCCAACACCTAATGTTAGTTGTGAACCTTGTGTTAATCTCGTATTACTACCTAGATTATCATCTGCCAATTTTTTTTTTTTTTTTCTTTTTGAAGGAGATACTTTCTGAGTGCATAGCCTTTAAAAATTGTGTTTATAAGAATTCGTCTAACTTAATCATGTTGGCAGACCTGGAACCAGCCCTTCTGATATACATGCCTTCACTCTTGATTATCATCTACAGTCGTGACATTAAGGTGAATGATCTGTGCATCTGTGAAGTTTTTTTAAATTGAATAGCAAGTTGGATCAGAATTTGTGCTTCGTACATATTATGTACAGCACAATTATAATGCCAATCTCTTCATTCATTATGGTGTTGCTGCAGGGTAGTGATATCTGAAACTATGTGAAGCAGTGAAGCTCAAGTACCTTGACTTGTTACTCATCTGGATATATGTGTTAGTCATTTGGAACAATCAAGTCCTCCCTTTTCTTCATAGGGAAGTCTGTAATTAGATTTTACCTGTTTCCTCACAGTAAAGACAGATGTACACTGCAGCTTAGTCATAAACTCTTTGGCAGAGATTACCAGTCAGCAATTCTGGCGCTCTAATTGATTTATGGCTAGGGCGTGATTCTTTACAATCACTCATTAAGTGTAGACTTCTCAAAGTTGTTTCAATCGTTTGTGATTCTGATAGATTGATAGACATTGGATAGGTGTTCTTTTGGGATGCTAATTCATTCCTCAAGTAAGTTCTTCACTAGAACTGATACTATCATCTTGTACATGTAAATATGTAATATACCATTGTCCGCGAAGATTATGGAGATTTTGGTGGTTTGAATTTTATGTATTACATCATTGGGCTAGTAACACTGCCAAGTCAATTGATGGCTCCATTTGGCGGATAAGAAAATGTCTTCTACTGAAAAACACGGCTAAAGATCAATAGAAGGCGACTACCAATGTAGTGGCAATGGTCAGAAAGAGGTTGGAGATTGCATATCAAAGAGACAAGTTACGCAATCTGAAAGAAACACTTTGATGGTTGCTTTGTGAAGAATCTGAAAAATACTCTAAAATTAATTAGCTTTGTTTTTTAAGGTTTGGTGTAGTATGGAATAGAGTGAGAGATGCAAAGAAATGACATCGATTATTTGATTATATTTCGAGTTCATGTTAATGATGGCTAATGGTAGCAATGGCTAAACTCTAGAGCTCAGTCAATAATTATTTTGTTAACGCTTTGTTTGGATAGGAAATAAGGAAGGAAAGTAAGGGGAGGGAAAGAAGAAGGGAAGGGAGAAGAAGGGGAGGGAGAGGTGAGCTCAATTTTCCCTCCAAATCTCTCCAATTTTGGAGGGATTATGATTATTAAAGAGAGAGGGAAAATGGGTCCCTCGGTCCCTCCCTCTCCTTTCCCTTCCTTTCCTCAATCCTTTACCCAAACAAGAGAGTTTGTCCCCCTCCCTTTCTCTTCCTTTCATTTCCTTCTATCCAAACAAAGTGTAAATGTTTTTTTTAGCTACCGTATTCATCAAATCATCAATAATCATATCACTAATAAATAACGTCGGTTTCGCAGCCAAGCCACGAGACAACAACACTTGGCATTCGAAATTTTTGCCAAGTGTTGTGCGACGTAGACGACAAATATGCATTATTGTGACACTTATGATGCTAAGTAAGCGAAGTTTGAATAAATTTTTAAAGATAAAAATATTGTAGGCATCATGAAATTTGTTTTAAAAAGTTCTTTAAAACAAGATTCATTTATAATATATTTTATTTATTTTAAAAAATAATAGAGATAGAATCAGTAAAAAAAAAAGTTTTAATCAATAAAAATGATTTTGATTTGGTAAAAATACTTTCATATCTGTAAAAATAATTTCAAATTAATAATAACATTGAAACCTATTTACAAACAAAACTACAAAATGTACACTATTATATAAATAAACGATATGATATCATATGTCTGAATATTGAGAATCATCACAATGAATTATATGACTGTATATAAAATACAAGCCAAAAAGTTTATCCTAAAATCTTATCGACAATCTGGCGCCCGGGCACAAAACTAAGGGAGGGATCCGATAAGAATAGGTCTCTATGTAAGAGCCCTATTATATATAAAGAATAAATCACAACCCTTGGATACATACCACATGATCCAACTGTTGAGATTGCTTACATAGTAATGGCAAAAATGTTATTTTACAACCAAATAAACTCCTATAATTTCGGGTTCGTTTGGTATCGTTGTGGTTTTCTATTTATTGGTTTTTTGTATTTTAAAGTCATATGATATGTGTCACAAATTGAGTCAAAAATTTGCCAACCTTGTTAAAATCATGATAATTTTGAAAATTGAGAGCAAAAAAAAGTGGAAACACCTTTTTCTAATTTCCTATTTTTGGTTTTCTGTTTTAAAAAACACAAAAAATTGAAAACAAAAAATGATGTCAAACAAACCTTTTTTTTTAGTAACAATTTTTTGTTCATTTATCAAATGAGCTGAGTAAACAACTTTTTGCTCATTTATCAAATGAGCAACAACTTTTTGTTCCTTTAGCAAATGAGCAAATAATTATTTAATTTGCTCATTTATCAAATGAGCAACAATTTTTTGTTCTATTATCAAATGAGCAATTTTTTTTTCTTTTTGCTCATTTATCAATTGAGAAACAATTCTTTGTTCAATTATCAAATGAGCAACAATTCTAAAACATTCAACTAATATAAAACCTTGAACTTACTTACTATATCAGAAAATATAAACAATTCTTAGACCATAAGAGACCAACCATGTACTAGTATAATAATAGTAATAGTAATAGTAATAGTAATAGTAATAGTAATAATAAATAATAAAAGACACACCGTATCAACAATGACACGTGTCATTACTTAGTGTGTTCTTAGTTATTTTTTTAATTAAAAACATATATTAATTAAGGAAACAAATTATTTACCAAAAATAAAATATTTCTTTTTATATACACTCCATATTAATGTAATAATTATTATATTCAAAATAATAAGATTTGAAAAATATTATTTCTAAAAAAAATTTATGGGAAACTATAAACAAAAATTATACTCCCTCCGTCACTATTTTTTTTGTTCCATTGTCAAAATTTGAGTTAAACTTTGAAAACTTTGACTGCAAATTCTTGTTGTTCTACTAAAGGAAATATATTCATGTGAGATCTTATTTGGTTTGTCGCATTGTAATTTTAATTAATAGAAACTTTTTATAATTTTTAAGCGTATGAAAATGGAGATATAAATGTTTTAACACGTGCCTTAAAGACCGTGTAAAACCAAATGGGGCAAAAATAAAGGGATAGAGGGAGTATTCTTAAAATAATGTGTGACCTATTTTAAAATAAGAAAAAATATTACTCATATTTTTATGCCTACTTTTATTTTAATTGTATATTATAAGCTATAATTAAAAATTGCAAATACCAAATTAACCTATCACATTTTTTTTTTGAGGACCAACGAGCATAATATATATTAATGAAGATCAATATCCTCCAAAATTAACCTATCACATAATTTTAATTTATTTTGAAAAAACCTATCACATAATTTTATTATAACCCGAATTATTTATTATAATACTTGTCAATCAATAATCTATAAATCAACAAAAGTTAATTCTTAATTAAAATGTAGATAAATTAAAAAAATGAAAATAATCTCACCTTTGGGCGTCCGCTGAAAATAATCCCACCTTTGGATTTTTTTTTAAATAATCCGACCTTTATACTCAATCTCTCGAAATGGTCCCAGGTGATTTGTAACCGGTTGCATAAGTTTTTTTTTAATTATATTTAATTTACACGTGTTACTATATGGTTGGTCAATAAATAAGTTTTAATTTTAATTTATCTTAGAAATGATTATAACTAATTAACATTAATTAATTATTTTAAAACTAATTTAACAACAACCACCAGCCAGCCAACTCTACGCTGCCACCATCAGCCCAGACCGCGCCGTCGCCGCTTCTAGAACCCGCGCTGGTAGCCGCTTCCAAACCCACGTAGATCGCCGCTCCTCCCCTTATCTTGACGTCTTTAAACCACCACACCTATTCTCGTGGTGACTGGGGAGAGGGGTTTATGTTGAAATCGACGGGGGAGGGGGCCGAAACTTACTGGGGAGAGGGGATTATGTCAAAATCAGTAGGGGAGGGGAAGGGGAGGGGGCCGAAAAAGGGACATGGGTAGGGGAGGAGGCAGCCAGGCCGGAAAACGTGGTGGGAAAAGGTCGCCTGTAGTTTTCCGAAACCCTTTCCAGGTGGGTTTTCGTGGGGGAGGGATGAATGTTGGTGGTTCAAGGTGGGGGATCGGGAGTGGCCGGAGCCACTTGGTTGGTCGTTGGCGCTAGGGTTGAGTTATGGTGGCCGGCGCCACGGAGTAGGGACTCCGGCGGTAGCTTGGGTGGTTTTTTAAATATTAATATTTTATTTTTATTTTTTCATTTAAAAAATTAATTTATTTGTTAAAAATTTATTTTATTTTATTTTTATTTTTTTTACCAATAAAAGGTCGCCACGTGTCAAGTAACCTGTTATAATAGGTTACATGACCGGTTGGGACCATTTAGAGTGGATTAAGTATAAGGTCGGATTATTTAAAAATAATCCAAATGTGGGATTATTTTCAGCGGACGACACAAAGGTGGGATTATTCCGGACAATTTTTCCTTTTTTTTTTTGCCTACTTTTATTTTAATTGTATATTATAAGCTATAATTAAAAATTGCAAATACCAAATTAACCTATCACATAATTTTATTTTATTTTGAAAAAACCTATCACATAATTTTATTATAAACCGAATTATTTATTATAATACTTATCAATCAATAATCTATAAATCAACAAAAGTTAATTCTTAATTAAAATGTAGATAAATCTAAAAAATGAAAAAAAAAATTAAAATACATGGGAAAGAGAGTTTTAGTGATTCAAGAGTGTAAAACAAATGTTAGGATAAAATAAGTTCAGATCAGATCATCGTTTTATGTGCTGTTTTTTATCACTATATATCTTTAATTTTGTAATGACAAAAATTATGAAAATCACACATTAATAAAATACACATTATTACGAATCTAACAAGACCCCACTTGATATATTTTTTCATATAAATTATTGTATATTTAATGTTAAAGTTTGATCAAATCTGACATTCACATTAAGATCAGATTAAACCAGACTAGATTAAATAAGTTCAAATAAGAAAAAATAAGACAAGCCAAACAAGGCCTAACTCTACTACTGCTAAATGGTTTTAGTATGGTATCTTCTAAGCCTTGTTTGTGGACCAAACTATCCTCCTCCTTGTTTCGAGTTGCCTAGACCCATTTCATATTATCTCGAAATTTAAATAATGACATATGAACATGATGAACATTTTTTAAATTTTGATTTTATGATTTAATGTTTATTTTGATTATTAATAAATAGTAATTAAATTATATAATTAAAAAATATATATTTTCTGCAATATTGAAAAATAAATTTTGGAAATTAAAAATATTTTTTAAATAATTAAAAAAAGATTTTATTTAAAAATCTTTATCTATTAATTATCTATTAACTATTACTAAAACAAAACATGAAGGGACACATGTCAATTTCTTATTAAAAATTTTCCTGCCTAAACTATTTTTGACCTCATCCTTTTTTTTTCCTCCTCTTATATTCCAAAACTAAATAAATACGGTGCTTCTTTCAAAATTAATTAATGAGATTATGATTTTTTTAATATAAATTTGAAAACTATTTAAACAAATAATGACTACTTAATCCGTGTAACGCACGGGACTAAACTAGTTACTAAAATAAAACACTGCTGACTTCATTATCCCTTTAATTATCCTACGTGTCATTTTCATATTAAAAAGTTTCCCTCCATTTTTATTGGTGATGTCATTAATTATTATTTTTATTTTAATCTTTTTTAAAATAATTATTATTTTAATCAACACTACACATTTTTAATAAAAAGAAATTGGCACTCTTTTTTACATGTATGATATAATTAATTGTTTATGCATGATAACAAAATTATTTAACTCGTGCAACACACGAGTCTAATCTAGTATATACTAAATTAACAACCGCTAAGGCTCTG